ACCTTGGAAAATTAGTGGAAAAGGCTCCGGTGAGCTAGGGACGGGACAAGCACGGAGTCCCCCAAGTGCTGACCGGCGCCCAGGGCACCCGGATGTCTGCGGGCCCAGCACTGCCTCCGCACAAACCCCGCCTCACCCTCCTCTCGCTATCAGTTCTGTGCTGCGGACCCTCTTCTTAACAAAGTCCTAACACGTTGCCAGCACAACATCTGCCTTTTAGAGCACACAGGCTGCCTTGATGAGGGCTGCGGGAAGCCAGGCAGCAAGTGGCTCACACCGATAATCCTAGCTACTCAGGAGGCTAAGAGCTGAAGATCACAGTTCAAAGCCAGCCCGAGCAGGCAAGTCCATGAAACTCTTATCTCCAGTTAACTACTAAAAAGCTGGAAGTGAAATTATGGCTCACGTGGTAGAACACCAGACATTAGCAATATATAAATAAACAGCTAAACGATAGCATCCCAGGCCGAGTTCAAGCCCTAGCACTGGCCCAAATAAGAGAGGGGTGACGGGAAGCAATCAAGGAAGCCCACTGGCACAAGAGGCTTTGTTGTGTCACGGGCAATGATACTGTTCTGAGTCGTGAGTCCATCAACCTGGCTACGCGAGTGGATTCCTTGAGGGAGCGTAATTACTGTATCAGAAGCCGGTGTCATTTTCCTTGGGGTGTGTCTTTTCCTCCAGAGAATGGCTCCTTTCACAATTATGTTCTCTACCAGGAATCTATTATATGATCTGGTTTTTCCTCCAAAGACATCATTAATCATATGGTGAAGATGTAACTCCAATCAAGGTTAAAGCATCTGTCTCGTATCTCCTTAAAACTTCTACTCTGAGCACCTCATCTCCTTTCTTTTAAGGACAGTGAAGTTGTTTTTTGTCTGCTTTCTTAAGATCATTACACAGGTGTTCATAATGGGATCTTCTCACAAAGCCCAGCACAGTGTCAAGATCACACAGTGTGTTCTGGGAGAAACTGTGGAAAGCCTTCCGGGGTAGGCCAGCGCCTTCATAATGGCAAGTGGTGGCTGGGTCTTGGCGTTGAGTTTGTCCTTGAGCAAATCTTCGGCTCCTGGATTCCTTTTTCCTTCACCAAAATCTGAAGCGGTTGGACCATGTGCTCTGAAAACCCCTTCCCTCCCTCGCTGACTCCATGCTCCCTTCCGGCAGGGTGGCAGCGTCCAGCCCCGGGGACTGTCACAGTGAGCGCCACACCTCAAGCTGAAAACAACGTGGTACAACGAAACACATCAGGCATGAGAGGAACCACTCCTGCGCTGAAGGTCACCTTGGAACCGCATAGATGTGAAGCCGAACTAAAATCATCACCGTGAGCAAAAACAAACCCAGGAGGCGCTGGGATTTGGCCTCTGGCTCAGCAAGTTGCTGCCCAGCGGTGCAGGGCGGGGGTGGCGGCAGAGGGCCTGAAACCGTCACCGGCCACGAAGGGAACAAAAACAGGAAAAGGAAGGGACCATGTGGGGGTGGCAAAGGAAAGAGACTTTGTGGACAAGCATGAGTAGAGGCCGAGGTGGAGGCCCGAGACCTGTGACTGGGTCCAGGCAAATGTATTCTTTATTTCTCATTTGGGAAATGGGTCTGCAGGTTCAGAGTCAACAGGATGCAGCACCGAGCACACGGCTGATGACAGAGCCACGGGCGTTGGGAAGGGCTCTGCAGGAGACCCCTTCAGCAGGGGAACTCTAGGCTTCCCCGGCTGTGGCCAACTAAGACAGTGCCTCAGGCCCTGGAGCCCGCAGGCGAGAGCCCTGCTTCCGGCCGGCTGCTTGCGTGCTTCCGGCCGGCTGCTTGCGTGCTTCCGGCCGGCTGCTTGCGTGCTTCCGGCCGGCTGCTTGCGTGCTTCC